ATAATCAGAAGATATGGCTATATTGGACTCATATTCCCCTGAAGCAATGTACAGCTGGATCTGCTTGTCTGCTTCTCCTGTGTACTCTCTAATTTGCCCCAGTTTCCACTACTCCTTATTGTCTTATACTAGGTCTACTTCATTCATTCAGTCTATCTGCCTGGATCCTGTACACAAATAATTTTGTAAGTCTATTTTGAGTTTTATTTCTTGGCAAGATTATGTACTCATTTCAACAATGCTACTATGGTTCAAAACTTTTTTTGGAATAGCTTTCTGAATGAGGTTGAGAATCACACAGAAAAAAATGGTGTTGGTATTTTAGCCAATTTAAAATTTTAATTAACAAGTGGCATTATCTGCTTGATCACTCAGGAGGAGTATATAGAATGAGGGAAGCAGAGGGTTGAAGCTCAAGTTCTGGGGAATATCAACACCAACATTTAAAAGAAGAGAGGAATAATTAGAACTGGTAGAAAAATCAAAGATGGAAGGGGTCTGAGTGATGGGAGTTAAGAAGAAGAGAGCAATGATTCTGAATGTACATGGGGACTACAGAGTGGCTTCAATTAATTGTTGCTTGAAATTAGGAAGACAAAGATTTTCTTTGGAGAGATTTTAAATTCAACACAGAATAAATCAGAGAAGAGGTATGCAAAGTGACCTAACACAAGCAGGATGTCTCTAAGTTCCGGGAACTCAGTCAGGAATGGCGATGCTGTTTCAAGATAAAGTATTACATCAACATAAAGTAAATACAGCATCAAATGATTCAGAGAGGTCAAGGAAGGGAAGGATAAAGACTGTTCATTGGAGCTGGCTATGTGAAGCTCGTGGCTGGGCTTTGGGAAAGTAGTTTCAATGGAATGATAAGGAGAGGAACCAATCTACAGTGGGTTGAGGAACATACAGGAAGCACTGAAGGATTGAGTCTGGACTTCTTTTCACTAAGAAAGAAGAGAAAAAGTAGGTGACAGGGGTTCCAAGACCTGAGGAAATGTATTTGTACGTGTTAATGATCGGAGAGATTCTAGCATGTTTATAAGCGAAGGGAAGGAGCTATAGGAAGGCAGGCCAGGAACGAAAGATATGACAGAAGAATCCAGAACCCTGGAGAGGCTGGAGAGAATGGGATCCAGGCAGGTGCTTTATGATGTTTTGAGCAATGGCATCATTATTGGAATGAAAAGCCTTGCTGCCAACGTGACTAAATTGGGGTGTTTTTGTTAAAAATATCAATCATGTTACTGTATAGTCACGTCTTACACTGTGATGTTTTTTGTCATTCTTGGATATATGCAATTAGTTTTTGGGCTTTAATTAATAACTTTTAAATGAGAAAACATGATTTGGCTATTAAAATACAATGTTCTTTTGTTTGAGATTAAGGATGGACCAACGACCAGGTAAGAGATAAGTCAGGATGACCAATTATTATAGTTATTTAATTAATTTCAATGTGAAATGCAAACACATCTTGATCATTTTCAGCCCTCACATTGTTATTCAAAGAGTAAAGTGTTAATTGGTGATTATTCCTGAGGTAATACAGTTCCTTCAAAAGTCAAGTATTCTTCAAACGGTTATTCATTCAAGAAATAGTTATGGAGCAACTAGCATGCCTCAGGCACTGTGCTGGGCATTGCAGATATGGCTGCAAAGAAGGCACCTTCAGTCCTTGTTCTGATGTTGCTCACATTCCAGTAGGGGCTGCAAGAAAGCAAACGGGCCAATGCAGCAGCATGATGAGTCCTAGAATGGGGGATACAGAGTGGCCTTAGGAGGATGCAGAAAAGCCACTTAATAGACAATAGTTATGGAAATGGTTGGTAGTGAGTGAATGGGTCAGGAAAGCCTTCTTTGACGAACTGAAGGAAGTATAAGCAAAGATCTGAAGAATAGTAAGATTTCTGCAGAAGAAGTGAGGCTGGGATGGTGAGGAGAGAAAGTGGGGACAAGAAGAAGGCTCCTAGTAGTTGGAAGAGAGCTAGCTTGGGGAATTTGGAGAACACCATGTCATCCAATATGGCAGAAGCATTCAGTATAGTAGGAAGAACGAGTGTATGTGTCAAGGGACAAGGCTGAATTGGAGGCCTACTGTAAAGGGTCTTATAAGGAGTTTGGGCCTTATCTTCGACTGACAGAAGCCAGTGGAGGGGGCTAAGCAGGGCCGCAAAGATGAATTAAATTTACATTTTACAAAGATTACTTACTCTGGTTGTGCTGTGAAGATGGATTGAAATGGGACAAGAGTGGGGACAGAAAGTTCAGGAGAAAGATGCTAGAGGCCTGATCTAAGGCAGTGACCCTGGCAAGAGAGGGAGAAAAAAGATGTGGCAGACAGCTAGATAGTAGAACAAGAGGGTTTATCGGTGAATTAGTGGAGAGTGGAGAGAGCTGACACGCAGAGTCCCGGCTGGTTAGTGACTGGGTGGTGGTGTCCCTCAACAACAAAGAGAACTTAGGAGGAGAAACAATTTTGATTAGGAAGAACTCCTCTTTCAATGCTTTTCCGTTTCAGATGAGCAAGCTAAATTCAGATGAAGCATAGATATTTTGGGGGTACTTTTTAACCTCATTGTTTGGATTCAGTGGTCTTAGTGTGTGGGCCCCCTAAACATGCAAATGTTGCTTTCAGTAAGTTTCAAGCAAAGCAAAAGAAAAATATTTACCAGTAGAACTTCAGAAAAGCAAGCACGCAGTATCAACTCCAGTGCCCGCAAGACAAGTAATAACATTCTACTTTTAATGTAGCAGACTTTCCATGCCCCACCCTCACCCCAGGCTTCTGCACACACAAATGAAAACCTTCTTAAGTCATGGAATGAAAAACATTAAAAAAAAAAAAAGAAAAAAGCAAACAAAAAGTGCTTGCTGTGCGGCGAATGGAAATTTTTTTGCCCAGTTTATTTTCCAGACACATGAAAAGTAGTTCTGAATATTTAAAACCACAATTATATACTTTGTTGTATAATTTTCTCCCCTTGAGATAGAAACATCGCACCTAAATTTTACTAGGAAATCTCTTTTGCTTTCAAATGTTTTGGCACTTCAGTTGAGACCTAAGTACCCTTATTCCACCAAAATATGAGGCAAAAATAAAAATCACGTTACCAATAATTTCTGGCTAGATAAATGAGTGCAGTCTGGTGACTACAAGTGTGGACTACAGAGTTTCATTGTCTGGGTTTGACCTGGCTTTATCACTTATTGGCTGTGTGATTCTGGGCAAATTGCTTCATCTCTCTCTCCGTTTCCTCATCTGTGAAATGGAGTAACAGGATCTACCTCACAGAGTAGTTGTGAGAACTGAATGAAATAAACCATGTGCAGCGTAGAATGTGCTCAGTAAATGTTCATTATTAGATTCCCACAGTATTTTTCTGGAGCTGAGCTCTAAAACGTGTGGCAGCTTTTATAAAATGAAGTAAAAGCTCACCATACTGTACTTAGTTCTAGAGCTAGGCCACAAAAAATTTAGAAAAAGTTATTCTTCACTTCCTGTCTCTTGGCTGGCAAAGGACTCCAGTACAATGACAGTGCACCTGGAAACATTTCCTCTTGATATCGTCAGGTGGCTCAGGGGAAGGAAAGGAAGGAAATCAGGGTAGCAGGTTCCTAGGGGTCCTGGTGACCCCATTTTTACTGTTCCGACTAGCTCAAAGCTTCAGACACCTTCTTTCACACCCAATACTGAGGTCCATGAGCCCTAAAAAAAGGTGTCTGGAGAAACCTCAGCGGCTTAGGAAAATCATTGCAGGATCAGCCTCCTCTCTTGCCGTTGGAGCCCCTTGGTTCTGGTCCTGAATCCCTAATGACTGTTCTGTAGCTTGACACCTGAATTGTGCTTCCAAGCCTGGACATTTTAGACTGATACCCTGGCTGCCATGCCCAACTGATTTCAACTTCTCACCTGGATGTCACTTTTGCAGGCTGTCACTCTTCAGAAACTCAGCCTGGATCCACCATCCAGAAGCTGGCTCAGACCTCTGGATGGCGTTCTTAGCCTTAGCACAAATGGCTCCACCTGCTTGGTTAAGAGTCAGGACTCTGGATTCAGGCTTTCCAAATACTAGCACTGCCACTTACTAACCATATGACTTAGGCCAGGAACTTTGTACTCTGTGCCTCAGTTTTCCTTGTCTGTAAAATAGGAGATTAGTAGTCTCCATCTCATAGGATTAAATGCATTAATACATGTATAAAACAAATTATAAATATACACAGAAAGAATCCACTTAAATACATGTGAAATAATATAAATGTAATAGTATTAGCTATATTTGTATTATACTTTATACATTCTAAATATATACTATTTTACACTTAATTTTATATGTTTTATGTGAACATGTATTATTTCATACAAAAAAAAATATATATATATATATATATATATATATATATATATAACTAAGACTGCTGTATTATGCAGAGCAGGGCTTAAGTTAGATTGAAACTGACTCCATCATTTGGAAAATTATAATCAACAATGAATGCTATGTAAACATTATTTCTCAGGTTGCTATGTTGCTCCTCTTTCCAATAACTTCATTTCAATTTCTGTAATTATGTCATTTATTTCTTGCCCTATTTCAAAGGCTTTCTATCTTTCAAGCAAATAGCAGAAGACAGAAATATGTCAAAATATGTTATTCATCGAGCACTTATTTTTAGAACCTATCATCCCCAATAACCTTTGATTCAGAGAGATAGGGTGGTTCTGAAAAAAGAATAGGCATTGCCTTTTTCACTTGCTTAATGAGAGCCAGAATGAGGGTAAACTTTCCCTGTGTCTTCAAAATCAGTAACAATCCATGGATTATGCTTAACCCCCACTAACAATCATGCTTCCCATAGAGCTATTGACATCAATTAAAAAATACCTCCTTGCCTTGATGGTAAGTGTGACACTATCAACCCCCACGAAACCCACTTCCTTTCCAGAAAATAGAAAACAACTGAGAACATGAATTCGCTCTCATTTTTGAACACTGGAGGAAAGGTTTTCATCTGTTTCTGGCAAACATGAAGTCACATCTTTGGTATTTCTTTCTTTTCTGCTTCCAAGTTGAAGTTCTAACAGGTAAGTGGCCTATTGAATATTTCATTTTAAGTTATAATTCAAGTGTACAGTAAGAAAAATTAAAAGTAGAAAAAATTTAGTCACCAAGTAGAGAAGTTTCTTTTGAAAATAAGAACAATTGTCGAAGAGCCCAAGTACATGGCTAAGGGCATTTTGTCACCCATGTCACTGTTGATGGCATTGAGTTTATACTGCTTCCTTTGATATTGTATTTTAAGATGAAGAACGATGTTTCATCAGACCATTAAAAATTTTAAATTACCTCCTTGGAGTTACCTGTTAGTGGATAAAGTAGAAGAGTGGCTTACTCTTCTCAGAGAGAGATGAAAAGCAAAAGGACTTATGTCAACAGAATGAAAATTGGAAGTCCTGGCATTGGGCTGGGAAATCTTCCTGAAGGAGAAAATAAAATGGAAGGGCTTAGAAAAGAAGGATTTTGATTTTAATCTTATCTAGGGGCTTTGTTCTCAGAAATGCCACTGTCTCTACAGAGTATTTTTCTACACAAAGTGTCAGAGTCCCTCTAAAGGGTCAGAAGTAGTGGATGATGTGAAAACATCCTCCAGCCCCTACAGACGTTAAAAAGAATAATTGTTCGGAAGTCCTCGATTCTTTCTCTTAGATGGTATATGTCAGACTCTATTTGAACAGTTTAAATAACGCTACCTACAGCTAAATTAATATACATGTTTCTCCTGTTTCTTACTCTGTACATTTTATTTGGGTTACGTTTATTTTATCTGTAACTCTGAGCCATGTTCTTGAGGTTGAGAACAGCACAGTGAAATTATATTAAACTGGGGAGCTCTATTAACACTAAAAGTGAAATCAGAACTTTTAGTAGGTGTAATCTTATCTAGAAACAAGTTTTTCAGTGGTACAAAGAAATAGACTACTTTTATCTCCCAAAAAAAACAAAACAAGATTGGTTAAGTGCTTGACCTTGTGGTGGCTCCAGGTGGCTCAAATACTAAGTAAAGAGGAAAAAGGAATTAGTGTCTATTTATAAGCCCAAGAGCAGCTTTGAATGACATGCTTGTTTACCAATGCCATTTCTACAACCTAATGGAACCCTTTAGCAGCATGAACAACAAATGAACAGCTTCAGAATTGATATTCATTCATTCATTCATTCATTCATTCATTCATACAGCACCAAGCACTTGCCATGCAGGAGGTACTGTGCTAGCTGCTATACGTACAATGATGAGCAAAACCAGGTCAGTCCCTGCTCTCATGAAGCTAACTAAATGGTTGGGAGAAAGATAATAATCCCATGAATTAATGATAATTACAGGTTGAACGCAGTTGTATCAGAGAATGTAATGAAGAAGCCTTTCTCGACTGGGTAGTATGGATGTGGGGTTTGTGAGTGTGGTTCATCAGTCTTGCCTGTGGAAGTGGCACTTGAACTGTTATTTGAAGGACAAGTAGGAGTAAATGGAAAGAATGGTGTGAGGGTGGGGAAGAACATTTCATAGCATGAGAAGAGTGAGTGCAAAGGACCTGTGGTAGGAGAGAATAAAGTAAGGTCAGGGAACTAGAAGAAGGTGGGTGTGCCTGAGTACAGAGAAGGAAGACATTGATTGGGATGGTGCGAGATGAAGTTGAGAAGGAAAGCGGAGGCCAGACCAATCAGACTGTATGGGCCACATGAAGAATTTTGGATTTTCTTCCAAGAGCATTGGTACAAACCATTGAAGGGTTTGCTTGTACTGCTAAAAGATATCCCGATATCGCAAACCCAATTGGGCACTTATGGAGGTGATATTGTGCTTGGGATATTTGAAATAGCAATGGTATTGTTTCTTTGGAAGGCTATATCCAGCCTAGGTAGGATGATTTTAAGTTGCCAGACTAAACTGATGAATAAATTGTACTTCTAGAATAACAGTCGTCTTAGATTCTAATGGAATAAATCCAGTGTTTACTCTCATCACACAGAAAACCATGCCACGTGACAAGCTGTTTTCCTATTTGACAGGTGGCAAAACTGAGGCATGAATGGCTAAATGGTCATTGTAAATATGCTAACAATCTTCATATTTAAAATATCATCACAGTGCTTTATATTATCTAGCAACTACCACTTTTTTTCCTAATATGGGTATTTTTTAAATTTTTATTACATTTATTGGGGTGATATTGGTTAGTAAAATTATATAGGTTTCAAGTGTACATTTCTATAATACATCATCTATATACTGCATTGTGTGTTCACCACCTGGAGTTAGTTCTCCTTCCATCGCTATATATTTGTTGATGACAACTACCATTTTTAAAAGCTCTAAATGCAAAGTAAAATGCCAAAATGAATAAACTAAGCACTTGCAAAGTCCTTTCCTTTGGGATATTTTTAATCTTCCTAACTATGTAGACCTTCTCATCCTACGAAGGGGTAGGTATTCTTACTGTCGGTTAATGTTTGAAGAATCTCAGACCAGGAAAGGCTAAGTGATTTTTTAACTAGTAATTGGGGGCAAAACTCAAATGTGACTATATTTAATATCCACATTCTTTCCATATTTTGTTGAAGTAGTAGAGATATAAGTCCCAAAGGAGGAAAATTCTTATCAGTTTTGTTATTTGGTTGGTAAGAGGCTGGAAATTTTGGTGATTCTTACCTATCCTAAGAATATGAAATTTATGTGTAAAAAGATTTATTGGGTTTTTCAAATTATATATATATATATATATATATATATATATATATATATGTATATGTATATATATTTTTGTAGTCTTCAATATCCAAAGAAAATGTCTACAAGGCTACATTTACTCCATAAATGGCATCTCTGTGTTACTGCTGTTCTAATGAATTGAGTCTATCAAATGGCACTTTTTAGTCATTCTAAATAAGAATTTTAGCATTTAAAATGTTTTTATAAAAATTCAAAATTGTATTTTGGGAAGTGGAACTTAGTATATAGGAAACATGTAACACAAATGAAAGCTGTTAGTCAAAAAATAATTTTTTCTCACTGATTTAGTCTGTAACGTTCATCAAACAGACCACGATTTGTAAGGTTACAAAGAGAGTCCGAAATTAGGGATATGAACCTCCTCTGGCTCATGCATAACATACCAACTGCTTGAGGAAAAGCTAAGAAGAAACATTGTTCTTGAGGAAAACAGGCTCAAGAGTTTTGACTCAGTCAACCACTAGTTCTGAGAGAATCCTATGTCTGAGCCATATTGACAGAGACATGGCATTTTTAACAAACAATTAAAGATGATTTAAATGTAACATTTTTGAATTTGAGGTATCAAGCTTTTAACAGACACCATTTATATTCTCCCAGGCCTCTGCACCAAAAATATCCATTCATGAAAAACAAGAACCTCAACAACAACAAAAACAAAACCTCTACTGTACTCACACTCATAACTTCCTATCTAAGAAACTGTTTTATATATATTTTGGGGTGTATATATCTTTCAATCACAGTATATACATGGGGCTCCAATGTGAACACTACTTTAAGTGTTTGGGACAATTACGTACCAATACATCTTGAAGGAAAAGAGCTAGCCGGAAATAACTTCCAAATCTAGCCTAACGCATGAAAGGGCTAAGAGTGTGGACTCTGTCTCAGATTAACTAGGCTCAAATTATGGCTCTACCACATACTGGCTTTATAGCCTTGGGCCAGTTATTCAAGCCTCAGTTTCTTCATCTGTAAAATAGGGATAAAAATAGAAAATCTGACTTAAAAGGCTGTTATGACCATGAAATGGTATATTGCATGTAGTGTGTTTAACACAGTGCTCAACGCAGAAGGAGCACTACAGGCTTATATATTGTTATTATCATTTTTTGGAAGTATTGAAAGCTTAGCTATTTATGTAACTTCCAGGCCTATTGGGGTGCTGAGAATTGGCTGGATGTCACTCATTTTGAGTTCTTGCTTTTGGACTGGGAAACAAGTGTTCTCCAACATCCGGTAAATAGGATCTGCTTTTCTCCCTTTTCTCCTCAGTCCCATTGCAGGGCATTCACCAACCATGCTCAGCCTCTGTCTTCTTTTTTGCATTCATTTATTTAATATTATTGAGCTTCTAATATATTCTGGGTCCTGGGATTATTTAGGGAACCAGGACGCAGTCCTTACTCTTGTGGAGCTAATGATTAAATGAGAAAGATAGACAAAAATAATTATGCTCTAAGTTTATATACATTAGAAATATATTGGTGTAAACAAAGTACAATTGAGAGCATAGAGATAGGAGTCTTTGTTGGCAAGGGTGGGGAAGGGTGTCTCAGGGACCAAGTTAAAATGGTTCTTAAAGAATAAATGGGGGTTTCTCAGCAGATAAAAAGTAATAGGTTGTTCTAGTCTATGGGAACAGAAGTAACAAGGGTGAAAAGAATGACTGAAAAGTTCAGTGTGGTTTGAACATATGATCCATGAGATTGTGTCATTCCAAAAAAAATGATTTTTTTTTTTACCTCATAAGCAGCAATGTAATGAAATCTTTTAATCTGGGGGAGTGAATTGTTTTTAGAAATACAATTTTGGGAGCAGCCTAGATTCAAGAGAGGAAAGACTGCTGTTGAGAAGGGTGGTCAAAAAGACGTTTCTACAAATGAGGGCAGACATGAAAAGATTCTAGATTGGCAATAGGAGTGGAGAAGAGCAATTGAATTCAAGAGATATCCTTGAACTAGAGTCAACTGGATCAGGAGAGGCAGAGAGGATGAAATGAAGAAGACTCTGAGGTTTTGAGAGTCCGACTAGTGACTCCCTTAAAGGAGGACGTTTGGGTTTGTGAGTGAGTATTGAATTGTTTGGAAATGTTATCCTTGATGTGTCGGGATATCCAGATAGACATGTTGAATGGAAACTGAAAACATACCCTGGAACCAAGGGGAGGGGTGGGCTTGAGAAAAAGGTGGGTCAGTGGAGTAGAGATGAGAGCTGGAGCCTTAAATGCAAACAAGTTTGCCCAGTGAACACCCTGTCTGTGTGCCCAAAGATTTTGCACAGCAGCTGAAAGGTGGAAAGTAATGTGGGTATTCATGGGTGCCAATAAAATTCTTTCTCTCTCCCCATGTGGAAGAGAGTTGGTTTATTTAATTTCATGTGATTTCCCTATTAGGACATTTTCAAACCAATTGTAATGAAATAACTAAAGAAGTAACTTGTTTTCAAATTCATTACTTTGTGAATATTTTCTACAAAGTTTTATAACACTTCTGGGATTTTTCTGTTTTCACTAAGAAAATCGGTTTTTAGTAGAAGAAAATTAATCTTTCATTTAACTTAAAGGACAAAATGTTGTTTTATCCCAGCTACAGAGTTCCTTGGAGAGTATAAACATTTCACACACACACACACACACACACACACACACACACACACACACACACACACACACGAGAGGAGAGAGAGAGAGAGAGAGAGAGAGAGAAAGAAAGAAAGAGAGAGAGAGAGAGAAAACTCATTTGGATTTTGGATTTTCTCACTTTTGTTTTTCACATTTTTGGGCTTTCTTTTCTGGAAATGTTAAGAATTTGGATTGGGCTTATTTTGCCTACCCTTCTTATTGATTTTGATCATTTCTCTAGATTATAGATAACTTTGAATAATAGTGTAAACAGAGAAATGATTCATATGCTAAAATTTTAGCTGGTAGACTTAAAAGAAATGACAATGGTTTTATGAAAGGTGAAAAAAGTGGTAGAAAGTACATTTTTAGAATTTCTTAGTAAAAGATCAAATGTAACAAAACCCTAACACAAACATTGTAATTTTTAGAACTTCGTTTCTTATGTCACATTCATGTGCTGTGCTAAGCTAAAGTTTATCATTATTTGATTACAGAAAACGTATTTAATAAGCACTATCAATAATTGCAAACTCAGGCGATCTTATCTTTCTATCATTCTGACACCTTTGTGGAGGTTTGTGGTTAAAAGTCTGAGTTAAGGAGAATAAAGACAAATTGCTGATTTGTCTTGCACCCCCTGCATTGTGTGAATTTTCTGAACGTTTTTGTCAAAAGATTATCAACTGGGGATAATACAACTGCTTACAAAGAGTACTGGCAGAGTGAATTTTAGCAAGATCATCTCATACTGAATAAATGGAATAGTTTATATATTAAGAGAATCAACTTGCAGATAAACTTTTGAATCAGTACAATTCTCAGGTGAATGAACTTTTATTTAGAGATTTTAACAGCTCCCAAAAAAGGTGATGCAAATGCTCATATC